TTGTTGTTAGAATGCACTTAAGAAGATATCGATGCTCCCGAAGCATTTGTAAATAAGTTAATTGTTTTTAAATAATAATAAAAAAGTATACTAATTATTGTCGAAGAGTAATTCAAATTAAAACAATAATTGAGTGTCTCAAGATCTGAAAACGAAAACTCTGAAAGATAAAATTACAGAAATTGGGTGTCCAGAAAGAGAAATCTAGAAGACAAGACTTGACTTTCAGCATGAGAAATCGCGACATGATCACATGCAAGATTTTAAAGTTTTGCATTGAAAATTTTCTTTTTAACTTTTGATACTGTATCGATAATATCATGAAATTAGGCAACTCTCCACTTTCAAGAGGTTCTTTATTAATGATGGGATCGAAAGCAATTGTCCGCAGTTCAGAATAGAGAGGTGTCAACATTTGAGAGATTCATTTCCAGCAAAAAACGCTCGGGTGGATCGGAAAATGTTCACATAGAAAGGTTTTACTGTATGTGTCACTCGTACCAAATTATAAAACATTACCAGTTAGGTCAATGATAAGTAGTACGCATCAATAGATCTGAACTGTTCAGGAATGGAAAATGCATATGTGTCACCCGCCCTGAGAGTGTTAATATTGCCAACTATCCATGAATTCTACTGGAACGATAATCAGATGCGTGAATTGTTGTTATTAATGATAACCATGAACGCATTCTATTCACAAGAAAATCACGTGTGTGCATCTTTTTCTATACTGACACATATGCATTCACTCTACTCGCAAAATGATCGCATGTATGAATTGTTTTACTGGTGAGAATTATGGATCCTACATGAAGGAAATTCCATTGTAGGTGCTGTGGTATGAAAGTAATCTATTCCGACTTAATTACATTTACGTGTCACCGACTTTAATATACATTAAATAGATTGATCGAGTGTGTCTTTGCTCGGAAGTAGTTTCGATGAGTAAACATGTTATTAATAATTACTAAGAACTATACGTAACTTCTATTCAGAAGATGACTCAATGCGCGAAAAATGAATGCAGGTTTTATGTAGATATTCTCCCTGAAAAGTAATCTGTCGAAATTAATTGCATCTAATTATCACCGACTTTGATATACATTAAATAGATTGATTGAGTGTGTCTTTGCTCGGAAGTAACTTCGATGAGTAAACATGCTATTAATAATTACTACCAATCATACATGAGTTCTACTCAGAAGACCATCGAATACTTGCATTTTTTCCAATAGTTGTTTTCTTGTGAGGAAGGTATTTGATTTGTTTATCATTTTTTTTTGGATTCTCTTCCTGATAAATTTATTAAAGATAATTAATTTTACAATGTAATGTTTCGTTGCTGAAAACAACTTCTTCCGACAAAACACAATAAGTGCACGTACAATTTAAAATAATAAATAAAATAAAATAAAATAGAGATGACTGGTCTATTCATTCTTTTTCTTCAGTCCATGTTTGATAGTGATACGGAAAATATAATCTATCCAGTGGTTACTATTACCATCTTGTTTTTCCGTATCACTAACAAACATGGACTGAAGAAGAAAATTGAATAGACTAGTCATCTCTATTTAATTTTATTTTATTTATCATTTCAAATTGTATGCACACTTATTGTATTTTGTCTGAAGAAATTATTTTCAACAACGAAACGTTACATTATAAAATTTATTATTTTATTATAAATTTATCAGGAAGAGAATCCAAAAAAAAGCTCGTTAGTGTAGGCCCTTTGGGGTTGAAATGTGAAACTCACATATGCTCTCTATCCTCATTCAACTAATGCAAAATACGTAAACTGAAAAATCTTTCCTAGACTAGTCGTTTTGCAGAATAATCAATCACAAGAGTAAGAATCTCTCTATTTTCTGCATTTCGCACAGAATTTTTATAAAACTTTTTTCTATGGGCGCCCTATTTTTTGTTTGCATTATTGTCTTTCGCTCATTATTTTTTATTTGCTTTTAATTCGTTTTTCTTAATTTATCATTCTTATTATGATAATCATTGAATTGATTGACAAATAAGTGTGTTTTACATATCTATGATATCTACAGCAGATCTTACACATTATCATATATATTAATCAAGTCAAAAATAATGATATTCATTATTTTTCAAAATTACTACTTGATCAATTTTTCCAAGAAAAGCTCTAGAACATCTAAGATCTTTTATTATTGATTGCTAAGGTCTGTAATGGGGTCATCCATTGCTAAGTGTCTGTAAAAGGGCTTACGTTGCCATGGTGTCTGTAATGGAGATATGGGGGGGGGGGGGGGGGGGGGGGGAGGGAGAGAGAGAGAGAGAAAGAAATGCATAAACAACGGTATATTTTCGTTTGAGCGTATTACAGTTTTGCTTGTCAAGGTCGTTTTTTGTTTACCAAACAATAATTAGTGGGCGAAAAAAAAGCAATAAGCTAGTAGAGAGGGATACTGTGAGAGAAAAATACAAAAANCCTGGTGAGAAACGCTTCTGGTAAAAATTTCAGCCCTATAGGTCGTACTAGACCGGATTTCCAGCTGATTCATAGGTCATTTTTGGCCTTCAGCAGAATCGGTATAACTTCGTCGCGACACAAGGTATAGAGCTCAGAGTGGTTTCAAATTAAAGCCAATGTCAGTATGCAGCATTTCATCAACCAGAATTTTAAAATTCCCTATTGTTCATTTTTTATGAGTATTTTAGTAGACATGTCTTAAAAGAAGCATAAAAAACGGTGATGCGACGACTGTAAATTCTATTTTTCTCAGCCCAGGAATCGACTTTAAAAAAACTGGTTGATGAAAAGTTTACTCTTATTAAGACCTTTAAAACAAAAAATAAATATTGGTTATAGCTCGAGAAATGAGAGAGGAGTTCCAATTTTTCTGATTGGAAACTATATTCTGAGAAAAACGCTAAAGAAGTTTTACAAGTGGATTTTTTTCATTTAAATTCAAAAAAAGTCATATTAATATGGCATATTTCCGATATACTTCCTAGTACTTTTTTAAAGCGCGTAACAGATGCAGTAAGCTAATGTCATCTGCCATGCTAAAATATTTTTGCTCTCCTCTTTTTCGAATGACTCACGCATTTTTATACCACACTGTATTCTGAACACGATAATTCACATCTTTTTTTGAATGAATAAAAAAAATCTGAAAGTTTTTGACTTCTATAAAAAGAACAGCAGTAAAATTCATTAATATTATATTAACGAAATACTTTGGAACAGGTTGAAAAACTGCATTCTTAAAAAAACCTTAGGTTTTTGTGAATACATTCCCGCGCAATGCACTTGAACTATAAATATTCAGTGTTGAGGATAAAATATAAATATATAATCCTTATCTTGAGCGTTGGTATATGCTTAGTGGTCACTATAAAAATATTCTATTCAATGCTGCTCCAAGTGGCAACGCAGTCTTTTCAAAACTGAAAAAATTTTGAAAAATTTTCGTAAAACATGATAGTATAAGGGGTCCAGTTTTTTATCGATAAGTCCGTGAAAATCTGGTCGTTTTGCAAAAAGCTACCTAGATTCGGAAAGAGGAAACTTCGGCGCATCTTCCCATGTAAAAAGCTCAATTTCGATTTTTTTTCGAAAAATTGGGTTTTCTGAGCGGGGGGGGGGAGGCCTTAAATATTCTATTGTTTTGTTTGTTAATAATAGGATTATAATCACTGTATATTGAAAAATAAAATTTTTGAAATACAGATCCTGGATAACGTTTTTCGACAAGTTTTGTACGAAATTTTTCTATATCGTCAACAAGAGGTTCATCGAAAAAGACTTTTATTAACTAAAATCAAATAAAAGTAATAACATAAGTTTTTATTCAAAAGAAAAAGAACAGACTTGAAACGTTGCTGCTCGTAATTGAATATCATTATGAAGACAAATCTTTGAATTATGAAGATGAAATTGACTTGAAAGTTTCTTTTCACGAATAAGTGACGAAATTGGAAATGAACGAACGATGAGATAGTCATTTTCAACTACAGAAGAAAAAAAACGTTCAGAAATTATCTTTTATTTCTACTTGGTTTCGGTTCTCTTATATTTTCTTGCAGTATTAAATCTATGTTGATAGAATGGATGATTTCCAAAAGTGAATTAATTTTTCCAAATTGAGAACTATTAAAATAAGTTTATCTTCATTTCTATTCTGCAGATTTCTGATCAAGACTCTTTTCTGGGCATGCGTCGAATTCGAACTCTATGTTCAATATCGAAATCGAACGGCTCACGTTCTCGTTCGGATATTTCTGAATATTGTTGATATTTTTCAAGGATGTATTAGATCGTTCAGATTTTGAATAATTTTTTCATTATGTGTAGACCTTTAATAGTCAATCGTGAAATCCTGGTTTTTGGCTTACTACTATTCCGTTTTATTAATTCACTGAAATGACTATACTCAAGATCGAATCCGAACCTTCGGATTTGGTACATGCTTAATCTTTTCTTTTAGACTGTATTAGAAATAAACTTTTGTTATTAATTTACTGAGATGTTTTTGATTACTTCTATAGTAACCATTCCTTTAAGTTTGTTTCTCCTAATATCGCGTTACTATCTCCTTGAAATAAACCGTTTTATTATGCGAAACTAGTTGTTTATTGATTTTTAATTCTTTTAATAAAATATACTTGCTGAATTAACCGGGCAACCTTTGAATATAAGTCGATAGTTTGTCATCGTTAAAGCACCTTCAGCAGATAATAAAGAACTTCGTCCAATAAAAGCTTCATTTTTTTTTATCAAGTAATAAATAAGAACGCAGTGCAATTGATTCTTCATGTTCAAATAATTCAGGTATAGTTACAAAGCGTGATAATCATAGTTTAGGCATTATTGCAAATCATCGTGTTTCACGATAGACTTTTTCAAAAACTTCAATTTGAATTTGAACAGTTTCTAAGAGAAAATGAAATGATTAAATTTAATCACGTATTAATAAATGAAAAAAAACATATGATAAAGTTTTGTATGAGAACTATTTTTATATTGTATTGACACCACTTTCAACACAAATTTTATTAACAAAACTAGGAACAAGATGAATCACTTGATCATCATTATTTAAATCAAATCCATTAACACTATCATGTGAACCTACTGTTGATGTTTCATCAGTATGACAAACACTAGAAATTAATTTATTAGAATATCAAGTCAAAAAGGTTGAAGTACAAACTTGGATAGATAATTTGAACTATGATAAAAATCACTAGTGGCACCATCAGTTGCATGTGAAATATGATTATATATTAAAATGTCAAATATTTGATGAAGATGAAATATCTAATGGAAGTTTCATATAAACCATTAATTGCATATAATGAATAGCTAATGCACAAAGTGTTTGTTCTTCAAGTTTTTCAATTGAACGTTATTTTTCAGGTGCTTTTTCTGCGTAGAGATGCATCTAATAAGAGACAATTTTAAAAAAAATTGAATTATTATTATGATTATTACTTGTTCAGCACTATATCCAATGCTGTTTTCTCGTGTAGGGTTATTCCATAAAGATGAGATAAATTTCCAACATATGATCCGTTTGTTCTCTTTAAAATAGAACAAATAAGTAAATATCAAGTTCATTTTTTTTCTCTTACAGATAATTGATGTATAATTGTATCTGTAGATGATATTGATAATGAATCGATAGCTACTAAACTGTCATTATTATTTTGATTCGAATCTTCATATAATAAATATAGATTTCGTATTTGATTTGAACATCAGAATAAAATAACATTTCCCGAAATTGCATATTTGTCCAAACAGCATGATATTGAATTTCTGTGTGAATAAATTGTATTTCTTCTTCAATTAATTTCTACAAAAAAAATGTAGTTCACTTGTTAACAATAGCGAATAATACAGAAATAATTCACAAAAATAAAAGAGCTTGAATCGTAATAGAGTTGAGCTTCCTTTTGTATTTTTTATCATGATGAATCGTTTTCACTACTATTAGAAAATTTCTGGCTACAACTGTGATTTCTCTTAACAATTTTCTCTCTTTTGTCTACAATGTTATCTGTATGAATAGTACATTAATCAACTTTGTGTAATATTCAATTCACAATTCTTATAATTAATGTGTCATTCAAACTAGGAATCTGCAATTTCAACACTTTTAAAGTTCATATAGCCCTTTGAATACATGCGACCTACATAAATACTAATCTAACTAAGTAGTTCTTTACTTGCAAATATTAGAACGAAAGAATGCAAGTGAATGTGTGAGATATAAAAAAACTTTTCCAGGGACCGGATCCAACATAATAGGTTCTCGATTCCACAGATTCCTAATTCAATTATAAATAATGTTGATGATTTTTTTATCGTTTTATTTTTTCTTTGCGATGTTTGGACTTCTCTCAGCAAAATATTCTTATTTACGAATTTGTATTGTAATCAAAAACTTATTTATAATATGAAAGCATTGACTCACAACAATCACCGATGAAATTTGATCTATACAAATACATGCGATTCTTTTTAATGGATCAAATAAATTGAGACTTCTTAACATAGTGAGCTTCCTTTCGATTCACTTCTGAACGATGTATGCTTGATAAGAAACAAGTATGCCTTTGAGTAATCGATAATATCTGCATGTGTTCATTTCAGATTGTTCCATCAACTCTTTGCTGGAATGTACGCAATTAGTCCTGACATGCTGACATACAATCCGTATTGATTGCAGATGATAAAGATATGTCTGTAAGTCTGTTTGCGGTATTGTTAATTGATAAGACTGAGTGAAATCCATTGACACTTTTAGTATATACTGTTGTCGTTTGCCACAATTGATAGTCAAGTGATGAAATCACACATTCTACTCCATCCACGCACACCCACACCCTTCAATAAAATCAGCCGGTAGTGGAAGTAAATTATCAATCTCTATATCGGTCATTCAAATATAGCAGACAGTTAGTTTTCAAGATAAAACGATATTATATAAATTGGACATAGAACTCTTCAGTTCAGTCACAGTAATTGAAATAAACCCTTTTTGTTGATATATTTGACATAGAATGATTGCTTTAATCGAGGAAAAATGGGATATTATGTAAAACAAAATAGTATGTTCAGTATCGAATGTTGCATGGTGGAATGATGCAAACAAAATAGATTCCTTCTTCTATTTGACACCGCAGTCTTGTAATCCGTAGTGGTGGTATAGGAGCACAATGGGTAGAAGAAGAGGATCAGAAGGAATTCTTTTTATGACTGTAGCTATCAACTTAATTAGGCATGCACCGAACCGTTTGGGTTCGGAGCATGGCTAAACTTAATATTTTGTACACATATAGTTGGTACTTCGTACTGATTATATGCGCTTACCTAGCTTTTATTACTTGAAGGATTCCTGGAAAATAAAGTATTCGGCTTTCGAACACTGCCAATTAGAACAATCAAAAAAAAGTAGCTGTTCCATTATATTGCATATGATTATATAAATCGATGTCCTGAATAAAAACGCAAAAGTAGGATTATTCATTTTTAACTATTGTTCAGGATCTTAATTCACAACAATTTTCTTTTTAAAGTAAGAGTAGAGAAAGTGCTATATTCTTAGCGCATTGTTTTATATATCAGTTTCACAATTTTTCAATAGGAACAAAAATATATATCTCCAAATACAAATAAAAGAATGCTGAATAAAATAAAATTTCAACGAAAGAGGAAATTAACAATATTATTAATCAATGGCGCATCATTGAGCGCACCTAAGCAATTTCAAATAGTTTTACTAACTGGATCCTCTTCTTTATCTTCACTATCTTTATCAGCAATTTCTTGAATTGATTCCCTCTGTGTCAAGACTTTGACCTATTGCTTGTTAGATATTTATTAGAATAGAGTTTGCATATCTTATTTTTGCAGTCGATGATGATTGACAAGAGGCAAATCAACGTATACGTTTTGAAAGCTCATTTTAAACTTATGAATATAATAATTATAGCCGTTTTGATTTACTATAATAAGATTGTCGAACTGTATTCGTTGATACAAGTCGACGAAACAACCATCTTTGTCGTTTAATTCAGCAGTACGAATTGCTACAAAAATATAGCTAAAAGAGACCGAGTAATATGCATCACTTTTATACTATATGACAACTTTCGAATGAGGGTGTGGGTGTGGGTATTGTTGGACTTGTTTATTTCACAACTTGAACTCTTGGAATAATAATAACACGCTTGTCACTTCACTTCGATGATGATAACTATTATAATCTCAGAATGATTCTTAATAACAGATTTTATAAGTTAGAACGTGTTTTAATTTGGAATGTCTTGGATAAATAATGATTAGTGTTTTCTTGGATATTAGAATAATTTATCATGATTTACTGAGTGTTATTAATTTTAGTTGCTTTTTTAGGCTACTATACATAAACAACAGTATTTTCAGGCTGTCTTTCTCCTAAAGATTATGTCAAATGAATAGTATTTATTAGTTCGTATCCAAGATAAACTATTTCGATCGTAGCATGAACACATAATTGGAATTACATTCGTCTATGCTCTGAAAGAATCTAATTCGCTTCAAGACATTTTGCATCATTTGTTCGACATCATTTCGAACATGTCGGAACAGATTAGATTTTATTTTCAATCAGATCTGATTTAAAATAAAGTTGAAACAGTTCAAGCAAGCCCATTTTCTATTGACAACCATATGCGCTAATCTAAAGATTCACTGTGGCCTAGTTCAAGAAATTCAAAAGTAATCTTTTATAATAATCTCAAATGGAAAAAAAAGTTAGCGACATGTAGTAGTTATGAAAATTTTGTAAACATTTCTCGCTTAAAACAGATTTACATTGTTCTATGTCACAGGAATATAATACATATCTGCTGTTATGCAATTTATGATATTTTTACTATCATATGGAATGAAGTAAATGCATTCATTTCATAAACAAGAACAAAATATTCTTAATGTATGAAAAAAAAAGCTTTAAAATTCTCGTATATGAACATGTAAATATTCATATACAATAACGAGAATAACTTTTGGAATACGAAAAGTTTGTGTACAAACAGTCTGCTATCTTATAGCAGAACAAGTTAAAGGACTCTATTACCGATAGCAAACGTTCTGTCATTATCCATCATAGTCCTTTTCATCAACACGGTAACAACCTTTTCCTTGATGGTTATTTAGAATAAAAAACAGTTCCCCCAAACAAGAGTAGTCTTAAATTGTTTCTTATCTCACGCTAATCTCAGATAAATCAGAATTCTTTCAAAATTTCCATTGCCTGATATTAATCTATAAGCGTCGCTGGTGAGAAGTGCATCTGCTATTGATAGGTCGAACGAAACGACTTTCTTCTGAGAGTTAGTACACCATTTATTTAGAAAAATTCATTGTGAAAAATTTTAAATATCTTAGAAGATTCATATTGATAAATGAGGAATATTTTATGTTTATGCAGAAATTTTTTATTACTTGCTCTAATGATGTCGAGTTTTGTATAGGATTACTCAGAGTTATATTATCTATAATTTTTTCTACGGTAGGTTCTCAATTCGATGTACTATTCGTTTTGAAAGTGACCAGAA